ATGTGCATTAGCTGGTAGTCTGTAAGCTTGTGGCTAGTGAGAAATGCACAGTGGTTTTTGTCCTATTTCATGAAAGAGCTAGCCTGCTGGAGGTGAACTGTGATGTGGGCAAGTGTGTGCCTGTCGACATTAGAATTGTCTGACTTGGGGGCAAGTTGCTCTTCCATCTGAACATAACATCTCTCTTGAGTGAAATATCCTAGAGAAGGCAGAAAGATTCTTATGAGAAATAGGTACTTCTGTTGCTTTATCACCTCTTCCAAGTTTCTGTGGGAAATACAGAAAATTCAGTCCGTTGGGAGTCTGCTGAGATCTTGGATAATCCTCTGGTAACTTCATGTGGTGATAATGTAATCCTTCATTGGAATTTTATTTTAATGACTTTTGCTAGCCAACTTCCTTCCCATTTAATTTATGCTAAGAGTCTTGACACACTGACAGGTGTAGTTGCATAGTCTTACGTCTGCTTGCAGCAATAAGTTGGCAAATGCTCTTGGTTTTGGTTTTTTCCTCTTGGTTTTTAATATTTTGGAAACAGGGGCGAGGTACTCAACTCAGACAGAAGTAATGGAGAAAAGCTAAGTCTACTCCAGGTCTGCAGAGGAATAATACTTTTTGCTAATACAGGTACTGCTTTTCAATGCAAAGAATCTTTTGTGTTTTACTCTGCTTAGGCATGATTGCTATTATTGTTCTAAAAAGATAGTAATAGTGATTGATTGCAATGCTTTGAATTTCTAGAAGTTGAGATGCTCCATACTGTAATGTCAGTAAATCTGTAAATTGGGAAACCTCCATCCAGATGTGTAACTACAGCAGGTCGCTCCAAAGAATGCTGGTGTAACACTGAGAATTACCGCTTTCCTTTATATTTTCTTCTTATTATTAAAATCTAAATGTCTATACCCATACTACTGAAAAACTTTTGTTCCTTTAACGAGGAGTTCTTGCTGGTTTCCCCCTGTCCTCAACTTGTAGAGCAAACTGCTGGCTCCCTCTTTTTGCAGAGAAACTGCAATATACACCAGAGCTGCAGAGATGCTGGGGTTCAGAGAGCCCTTTCCTCCTTGGTATGCATTGTGCTGGGGTTCTGTTTAATCCATGCCAGCCTTTTCTCACATGAGGAGCCCAAGATAGATGTCAGGACGTGTTACAGACTCCCAGTAGAGGTGCAGGAAGCTCCACTGCCACCTGAGAAAAGGGAGGCAGTAGGTGTGCAGTACAGTGACTGGGTTCTGCTTTCTGGTCAGTGAAATCTGTTTAAGCTTTTTGAGTTAGCAGTCCTTTTTTTTCAAAGAATCTGACAAAACAGCTTCAGAATCCAGAACCAGTTGTATCTTGAGGGGGTGAGAGTGGAGAAATAGATGCAACCCGTAAAAGAAACTACTTTTTTTTTATAGCTAATAGATTGATTAGCAGTTCTTACTTGTTTTGCACGTTTGCAGTATTCTGTAAACGAAGCAATGACCTTCATTCCACTAACGAAATGTTTGCATCTCTGAAGTTCCTGTAGTTTTTGGATTGTTTGATCCTTTTACATATAATCAGAAGTAAATGTTAATTTAGGGTTAGTTAGTGTAACAAATGTAACTTTTTTTAAACCTGTGTTTTGAAGAAGTTGTCTTTGTGGTGTTTGTTCTGTGATCTTTGGAATTTGTCAGAGATTCACATTTTATAAATATTCAAATGTCCATAAGCTTAGACCTAATGTTTGATGCATGTATTGCAGTGTCCATGAGCTAGAATCCTTTTCTTGTTAAATGCTTTCTTCTTTCCATGCCTATGTGCTATTTTGTGTAAGTGGCAACAAACTGACTCTAAACCATAACTGCTACTTGGACGTAATATTTGCGGCCAGTAAGTAGGAAAAAGTTTATTGCAAAACCAAATCATTTTCCTTTTTATAGTATTTTGGAACTGATTGTCAAAAATTTAAATAGGGTTGGGACTGATGCCACTGCCGAAGGGAAAGCTAGAGGGTTTTCTGTTGTTAACAATAAGCTTATTAAATTGAGGGAAAATATTTAGTCTCTTAGTTTTGCTTACTTCAGAATTGGTCGTTTGTACTATTTTTCCTATTAAATAAAAAGCTTACTTGCCAGGAGTTCTTAGGGACTTAATTCCTGAACTAGCCAAATGAGCCCAGAAATGCAAGAGAAACAGAGAGTACCAGCAAAAAAATCTGGGGAATGTATTTGAAACGTCAGTATATGGATCAGGTTACAGATGTACCTCAAATGCTTAATGCTCTGTAATAATACATTTCTGTAGTATTGGGAATATTGGTGGGTTTTTTTTTTCCCAATTTCTTAAGCTGCAGTAAGGCAAAAGTTACTGTGGTTTTTTGTAACTTTTTTTTTCCCGTCTCCCTCTTTTTTTTTTTTTTTAAGATCTTGAAGCAGGCATCCAGAGCAAGTGAATGAATAGGCTTTGTCATAATGATTTTAATAAATTCTATCTATCTCTCTTGGTCTCTCTTTCCCTACAAGCCAAATACTTTCAGATTATTCTGAGTAACTTTATTTCCCTGCTACACCTGGAGAACACAAATGTATCTTACCTTTTCAGTCTGGTCATTACCAGGAGATGTTTTCCTGAAGGCTGGTAAAATCTGCCCTTGTCCTGGTGAATTGTCATCATTCCTGTGAATAAAAGTGAGCACATAATACTATGGTGTACTACTACTTGAAGACTAAGAAAGCTGGCTGGTTAAGAAAGCGGCTTTCCTCACGGTTAGATGCCTAGCATCTGAGTGCTGTTAAATTGACTTGCAGGAACTGGTTAAGTATTGGTAACCTGCTGTAAAAAGGACATGTGTAACACCTTCATCTACCACTGCTGAGGGGAGAGGCTTGGAGGGTGGTGCTTTTTACACTCCTACTTCAAATGTTGTATTTCAAAAGGTATGCTGCTTCTCATTGGTTTACTTTCTAAGACAAGTACAGCAGCTTATTCTTATATTTGCATGGAGGCCTGATTTTCTGCTGGAAAGCAAGCACTCTGTTATTACTAAAATAATTATTTTCCTCTTCATCTTGGTTTTGCAGGGCATAATCTGAGAGTGCTGAAAAGCTTTCATGCAAGGAAGTGCTCAGAGTGCTTGGAACACAGTTTTCTGCAATGTTGTACTTCTCTCTTGGAGAAGACTAGGTGTTTGATTTGTTGTGCACATGGTTCAGAATTAGCTTTGTCAGCTGAACTACAGCATATGCATTTTTTCTTGGCTCTGTTTTTATTTACACTGAAATAAAGTATCTCTTGGCCAGCCAGAAGTATTTCCACATGATACTCATTAAATTGAAATGTGGGGGTAGGAAGTTGTGTTTTTCCTCGTTTATGTCAGAATAAGGGATGTCTAGGTGGTGATCATAACAACCTGCAATTTTGAGACAGGCAAGGCTTGATGGTGAATGTCTCTTCTGGTATTTTTTTCCTGTCACATAACTTGCTTTCAACAGAAATCATGATTTTACTGTCATCTTTATGACAGAAACAATTAGGTTTTGAACCTCATTACTGTACACAGTGGCTGACGTTATTAGTAACACCAGTATAAAATTGTTTTTCTTGGATTTAGTTTTTAATCTGCAGGAACAATGTCCGCTTCTGTATGAGCTGAGGCAACTAAAGCATTATGTCTTACTGGTGAAGCTGAGACCATAGCCTTGAGTCTTTCAAGATGTGTTAAGGAAATTGGCATGTTTCCTGAAGTAAGCATTCTGCTGCTCTTAATCCTCTATGAGCTGGAGAAATAAGGGCTATGATGTAAACTGTATTGAGTATTGATATTTTTGTTATAACTGTCAGTATTGTCTGTTAAAACCTGTACTTTTTCTGTTTGCCTTTCCTGACCTGTAGTCTAGTTTTCCCTTTTCCTGCTCTTTGATACTTCAGCATTGGCATTAATCAGATAAAATAATATGTTAATTACTTCTGGGACACCTGGCTAACATGAAGACTTGAAGTGTAAAAACGATTTTATCTTTTACAAGTTCTACTGGTGTGATGAGTTTTCAGGGGTAGAGAAGCTTAGATAAAGGGTTTATTGTGGTCAGGTTTAAAGTTTAATATGCTAATTTAAATGGAAAGCTGAAACTGATTCTAGATCATCCTTTAAGAGTCAGGGAGAAAACATGTAGTTTCTCTCCACATCCACTTCACCAGTTTGTGAGAAAATACAGTCCCTTTGTGATTTCAGAGGGCTTTCTCTACTTTCTGTTTGGAAAGGTATTTTAATACAATAGAAAGATGTGTGGGAATAAAATCTTAGTCCATATCACAAGTCTTTGTATAAAGAAGCAGAACTATTCTTTAAATGTTAAGTGACTTCATAAGTGTTTCAAACATAACATTTCTTTATGTAGTGTAGTAGCAGAGCCTTTGTATGCCTAAATACTTAAAAATTAGGTTGGTTTTGTTTTTCCTTCCCCTCTCATGCCAAAACATAACAGACCTACTCTTACCGTTTATGCATTTGCATAGTTCTTCCTGTATACAAAGTCTCCAAACAAATTTTACATATTACTCTTTATGTGCAGTGGTTACTTAGATCTGCAATTACTTCTTTTCTTTTTCTGAATTGCTTGCACTGTGCAACAGTTATCTTTACCCCAATTGGAGTTAGAACGTGTCTTGCTGGGGAAAAAAAAAAAAAAAAAAAAAAAAATTAGATTGTTTGCTAAAGTTAGAAGCCTTTTCTTCTGCTGCTGGAAATAGTTCTGCACATTGGTGAACAGCCAATCTTAAACTGTGAATCCTCCTGGAAAATGATGATCACTTCTAACAAGCTCCACAGGAGATTTTAATCTTGTAAAGTTTGCGTTAGTGTTCAGTTTGGAGTTCAAATTTAGGAAATGTTAGCTTCCTACATGTTGAGTTGCTCTTTGAATATCCAGCCTTACCCCACTTACTATTTCTGCTACAGTTGTGCTGAAACTTCCTTCATGAAATCTTCTAAGTAAGCTGTAAGACTCACTGCTGTATTCTTTTTTCACATACAGGCTCGTGTTATGTATGATTTTGCTGCTGAGCCTGGAAACAACGAGCTGACCGTCAGTGAAGGGGAGATCATTGTAATTACCAACCCGGTAAGAAAACTAAGATGGAATCAAGGCTTCAGTGCACTTTCCTGAGCTACTTCTGGCAGGTGGAAGAAAAAAGATGCTAGGTGATATCTGAAAGCCTGGCCGACCCTCTGCTGAAGAATTAGTGAATAAACTTAAATACAAAGAATTTTCTAGTAATTTTTTGGAAACAAATGCAATGAGCAGTTTTAGAGTACAGGGGACCTCTCAGATGGTGCCTTGTGCACTCAGGAATTTGCTCAGCTTGTTCCCCTCTAAAGAAAGCTGAGTGCTAAGGCAGAGGAAGGAGCTAATGATGGTGATCTCTGTACATCTGAATGGGTTGTCTTTTTTTGTGTGCTTAATGTTCCACATCTTGTGTGTATGTAATCTTACAGGTGCTTGGCACTTGCATTTAAATTTAACCTGACGGCTCCCTTCTCAGTTTTGAGTTTCTTAAATGACATCAGTATTCCAAGTTTGTTCAAAGAACTTCTGACAAAATTTGTTACTAAATCTGTGTGTCCTTTCATAATAAAGGAACATGGACAAGGTACTGGGAACAAGTGGTGAAAATACTATGGTAATGATATCAGGGAGTTCTTAAATTAATAGTACTTTTGAGAACTGACATTTGATTTACATGTGCAATTTGAATTTGAGTGCACTTTTATTGTCCTGTACAGTTCTTACCCTTGGTAACAAGGTAAGCATTAGTTGATTCTGCTTTCGATTTTTGTGTAGTGAGATGACTCAGTGAATAGACTTTCCTTTTAAAACACATATAGACAAAACCTACCCGGTCTCGATGCCAGGTTTTATTTATCTGGTTGGATAGGAAACATAGATTCTGCAAAATAAACTAATTGTCTGAAGAGCCTAGTCATGTACAATCCTGACAATTTTTAGTTCCACTGACCTTAAATATTCGCAGCAGATATTTAGTAGAACCAGCACCCTCTTGGATAGTATGCTATGCTATGGCAGAGGTAACATTTTAATTGAGTTCAGGAGTTTAATGCTGTTTCACAAAAGTAGAACTAAATAAATAGTTTACCACATTCAAGGTAGTTCTTGCTGAACAAGAATATACTTAAAATGAAGTAAAACTTTGTTGTCCATAATTAAACTGTAGGATAGATTGCCACAAAGACTCTCTTTTGATATGAGAGGTTTAGAGAGCAGTAGCGTAAGTCATTAAAGTCCACTGATAATTGCTTTTAAGTTGCAGCAATACAAATGTGACTTCTGGCTCAAGATGTCCTTGCTCTTGCAGTTTAACCAAGCTAATCGAATTTATAATCCGAGATGTCTAGTTGTTTCTGTGCTTTTGAGTGTTAGCTTTTAGGTAGATAAGAAAAAGCAAATGAAAGTTCGTTATTTCAGTAACTGATTGATCTTTACTGTCTAAAATCTTGAATACATAAGCAGACTTCTTACTATGTGCAGGATTACATAAAATTTCCAAGTGAAACAACAAAATTGTAAATAAATTAATACATCCATTAAAAAGCAAATTAAAAACCCCTGAAATTCAATAATTGCTGTCTAATGTATGTGGTTCCAATTTCCAGCTGTGGGTTAGCCTGACATGTAACTATGTATTCAATGAACAGCTTGATTTTAAAACAGGACTTGCTTATTCCAGATAATGTTGTCCTGGGGTTGACTTTGCTTAACTGCAAGGTCTGCAAAGGTTTCTTTGTATATGTAGAATATGTGTGTTAAACAAACAGTAATATGATGTCCAACTGAGATCAGAGCTGAACTGTGTTAGTTCTTTCCAAACTAATAGCATGAGATCTGCCTCTGAAATCAAATGTACACTAGAAAGAGTGTCTCCAGATCTTGCATGGCATGTACTTCTCTTAATCTTGATGTTATCCTTAATATTTTTGTAGCTAGATTATAGCTCCCACTCATCACACACCTCTGCACCTTCAATAAGTGAAGCAGAGATTTTACAGGTGTTATCAATAGTTTAATTCCTTGAGTGTTGATTCTTTATAATCTGTTGATTAAAATTAATGCTTTGGAATTGGCATACTAAAAGCTGTGTTTTGATGCAGGCTGTGTCCAGACAATTGACTGTGGTTTCATAAACGATCAAAAGTGCTGAAAATAACCATTTCCCCCTCATGCTTTTGAAATCTGAAGTCCCCAAGAGCTGTGTGAAACAAGCATGCTCTGTATTCTGTTTAAGTGAGTGTGTCTGTTGCTTCAAAAAATTTAAGTGAGTTTGTTCATGGTCATACAGTCATAACTGTATTCTGAACATTGCATTTGACAGTAAGACAGTCCTTCCTCCTGAGCTGTTTAAAACATGCTGTGGGATCCATCTAGCAAAACTATTTCTATATTATTACTTCTTTTAGGATGTCGGTGGAGGCTGGTTAGAAGGGAAAAATAGCCAAGGTGAGAGAGGACTTGTTCCAACAGATTATGTTGAGGTAAGTGACTCCACTACTCTGCACTAAGAAAGCAGAACTACTGAAAAGGCTGTCGTCTCATTCTCTGATCATACTCTCATGCTCAAACATAATGCTTCCAATGTTAAAGCCTGGAATATGTAATCTTACTGTAGCTGGCTTTGGAAACCAGTACAAACATGCCATCCAAAGTTTCTGTGCTTCTTCATGGTTTCCCAAGAAATGCGACAGGAGGTTGTCTATAGTAAATACTGGTCATCTGCAGAACATGAGCTATTTTGAGTCTGCCTGTGGTTTGGGGGGAGGTCATCTCATGATCCAATAATCATTTTGTTTTCCTGACTGAAGATACAGACACGGAAGTGAATTGAGTAATGCCAGTTTACACCGGTGTTGCTGTGGCTGATTTGCCACATGCTCATAAATCTCTGGAATGGAACCCCACTTCTGGGGCTTAGGATATGGGAACCCAAATCTAGGGGCTGCTCAGCTGATCTTCTTCCTGAAGGCCTTTGCTGTCACTTCAGTGTGTGTTGATCTGTTCTTTGTTTAAAGACTGGTGGTATGGGGGTGGGGATGGAAGGGGGGTCTCAGTGCAAAGACTGGAACCCAGCTCACTCTTGAAGGGCCCAGTGTCTGTATGTCTCTGCAGGATGCCAGTTCAGTGAAGACTCTAGCTGTAATTCTTGCTGCCTCCTTTTAAGGCATGTGCCTCCTGTCCTTCACCAGTGCTGTGGTTATTTAAAATTAAAAAAAGAAGAAGCAAGGGAGGACAATGCTGCCTCACATGACCTTGACATGACTTTGCTTTTTGCCTTCAGTTGGCTAGCTCATGGTCCGGTAACTTTTGGCTCTCCAAACTTGCTGTCCCATACTGATCCTCTGAGCATTGAGTTCCCAGTCTCCAAGCAGTAATGTTAACAACTTTGTTAATCCTTAATGAATTTGTAAATTGGTGTCCTCTGCTACAGCAGTCTTATGTGTTATGGTGTTATAATGCAAACTAATTATATCTGTTCTAGAAGTAAGTCTTCCAGATCCATCCCATCAGTTTATTGTAAAAGGTTCTATTGAATTTGAATTCAAAAAGGGTACATGCAACCATATTCAAGCCTAGTGATGTGAATGTTAGGATGATTGTATATATTAAACAGCATAATTTGATTAATGGAAGCATGAAAAATCTTTTGCAACTTTTTCCATTTCAGATTATAACTGAAGGTGCAAAAGATGGAATTAGCTGTGGTAACTCACTAGCTGACCAAGCCTTCTTTGATTCTCTTTCTTCAAATACAACTCAGACCAACTCTGCCGCAAAAAGCGGTAATCAGGTATGTCTCATGGTTTTTCAGGCACAGCGGGCATGGCAAGTTTTGTTGACATAACTTGCACTCTTCTGTTGTGCTGTGCAGTATTTGTGAACCCTCATAAAAGTACTAATTAAAGTAATTGTGTTTTCATTAGGGAACACTTTTGTTGAATGTTAATGATCTGTGTGATTGTTCAGATACTGTGACAGCTGGAAAATTTAATATTGTAACACTTTCAGAAGTAGAGCATTTTTATTCTTTCCAGTCTGTAATCCTGTAAATCTGCGACTACCTCAAACTCTGTTACCTCAGTTCTGTGTAAGTGCACTCTTAGCAAATTTACTTTATTTTCAAGTTACTTGTGTTTGTATGATAAACTTTTTAAGGAACCAAAGCTTTATTTTTTTAAAAAAAAATGTCTACTACAATTGAGTGGTCTATGCTTCATCAGCCAGAGTGAATGGATATATATATCTCTTTCAGAACTTGAGTAAGACTTGTTTCTTTGATTTAAAAAAGATGAAGCAAGTTCATGCATTCCCATGCATTCTCCAGTCAGTTGTAGAAGAGGCTGAGTTTGGTTTTGCTGAAAGAATGTTTTTCTTCCCACCCCCCTCTATTCATAGCTTTTTGCCTGGTGTGTCAGTTCATTAAGCAGCAAGTATTTAGTTTCAGGTTAGATATCTGAGGACATACGTTATCTTAAACACAAGCTGTTTATCATGGTCTACAGGCTGCTGCATGTTGCACATGTAGGAACAGTTAAACATTTTGAAGTCCACAGGTCAACAGAAGTACAAAATCTGCTTTTTCCAACAGCAGCATGCAATGGTCTTTTGTGTTGGAAAGTAAATGCTTTACTTATTGTAGCAGCTGGGGACACATCTGGTTTGTGGGTCAGTTAAGTATCAGTTACTAGATTTCTTAATTGTAACTTGCACCACAGAACTTTGACATGAAGGGAGATCTCTTGAAAGCTGTACATGGGGCATTTTTGTATGACAGTGAATGTAACAGTTGATTGACTGTGTAGTGTTTGGTTTGTGTTTGCTTGTATTCAGCCGGACAATGCCAGGATTGTAATTCTGTGATCACAGGTATAGTGAGAACGCCAGACCTCACTGTGACTATTTCAGTGTTTATAATTAAATAGTTTTAACTGATGCCTAGTAATATTAAGGCTAAACACAGAGCTTTTGAAATGCCTCATGAATTTCTCTTGTCAGAGTGAACTAAAAGCAGTGATTTTAGGTTTGTTTTCCCTCAGTAACTTAGAGTAACTTAAAGGTAGAGTGGGAACCTCATTTCTTATGCTCTGTCTGTTACCCTTGTGTCAATTTTTCCTTCTGTAGAGTTTTACTTCTGGGGAAGATTGAAATATTTGCAGCAGCTACTTCTGTCAAATCTGAACTTAATTAGATGTAAAGAGAATTACTAAAATAATAAACATAGAATATTTTGGATGGCGGTAGAGGTATCCATCAGAGCTTGATCTGTGCTGAACACAAGGTACTTGTGCCTGGAGAAGGGAAGAAAAACAGCCCTTTCCTGTATAGGAGGCGTGAGAGGTATCTTATATTCTAAATAATAGAGAATTATGATGGCAATCTAGTTTTGGAAGTTGCATTTCTGCAGGAGGGAAAAGCTTGAAAAATGGTCACTTACTAATACAGTTTACACAGGATCAGCAGTATACTGGCCCTGTAATACATAGAAGTTGAAGTTTCTTCATAACAGGTTTTGGAAAGGAGTAACTTCAGGCAAACAGCTTGTCTTATCTGTGTCAGTGCCTTACTCTTACAAATGTCCCTTATCCTTCAAATGCTGAGACAGTTGGGAGGACCAGTGTACCATAGTGTATTATAGTAAAACTATATTGGTAACATTAATAGGAGAGAGGTAGGAGGAGAGTGTGCACCTGGATGCAACCAAGGCCACACAAGATGCAGAGAAAGCAAATTTTCTCAGACTATGTGCTTGGGTCTTTTGTTTTCCTGTTTTTTCATAGCAGGAACCATCCTGTTGCACGGCCAGAAAAGCCTGATGCAGTGAAAGATTGCATTGATTCCTGTGATATTGCATCAGGAGGTTATATTGAGCTGCTCACCCCCTGCATACTGGCTTCTCTTCTAGAGCCACTGCTTATAAGAATACAATCTTTGTGGGTATAACCCTTCTTCCTAGACATATTACTCTGCATTTGGTTATGATAACATTTACACTGTTTAACATAAGTTCGCTCAGACACTTTGGATTGATCTGTGTTGAGATGCACAGTTGCAAGCAATTGACTTCCTCTTTTAAAGTGCCTTAATGAGTGATTAAGTCATCATACAAAGCACTTCATCTTGAATGCCACTTGTGTGTTCAGGCTATGGAGAGCAAAGAAAACTTGACAAATTATATGTCAGTATAAGAGAATCGATGCTGGAGCTGTGGAGACTAAAATGTTTCTACATGTAGTCTGGTGGACTGAAAAAGAAATAGCAGCTTCTCTAAATGCTGACATTTTATGCTATCTATTATATTTTATAGTAACACGGGGGGTATGAGTTTATTACAAGAAGACTTTATAAAAGCATTTCTAAATTAACCAGATGTTTGGGGATTTTTCTTATTACTACTGTCTTGAAGAAATTTCTGTAAACATTGTCACTTTAACATACATGTAACATACACCTCCCCAATTTCAATAAATCAAGAAATGTTTTAATTCTTAGAATTTCTTCCATTCTTCTAACAGTAAGTAAAGAAAATCCAGGTTGTTGCATAGTCTTTCAATACCAAGACTTATTAAAAATAGTAGATCTTGCTGAGTTTAAATGTATGAGTGTGGGGTGGTTTTGGTTTTCTTTTTTTAAGAGACCAGTTAAATCACAGTGTTGTGGTTTAACCCTAGTAGGCAACTCAACCCCACCTGGGCCTCGCTCACTCCCCCCCCAGTCAGGATGGGGGAAAGAATGAGAAGAGTAGAAGTGTGGAAGCTTGTGGGTTGGGATAAAAACAGCTTAATGGGTAAAGCAAAAGCTGTGCATGCAAGCAAAGCTAAACCAGGAGTTCATTCAGCACTTCCCATCGGCAGTCAGGTGTTCAGCCATCCCCAGGAGAGCAGAGCTCCATCACATGTAAGGGTTACTTGGGAAGACAGATCACCATCTCCCTTTCCTCTTTCTTTCCTGTAGCATTTATTTCTGAGCACCATGGCATATGGTATGGAATATCCTTTTGGTCAGCTGGGGTTAGCTGTCCCAGCCATGTCCCCTCCTAGCCTCTTCTGCACCCCCAGCCTACTCACTGGCAGGGCACAGTGAGAGAGGCCTTGACACTGTGCAAGCACTGTTCAGCAATAACCAAAACATCCCTGTGTTATCAACACTGTTTTGGTCACAAATCCAAAACATAGCGCCATATCAGCTACTTTGAAGAAAATTAACGCTATCCCAGCCAAAACCAGTACAAGCAGTTATATTTGAATGCAAACTTAACATCTGTAACTTTTTTTTCTGTCTTAGTTTTATTTCTAAAGTTCTGAACTAGTTAGTCTATCAGTTTAGAAATATATCTCAAATAGCAATGTGCTTCTGAGAGGGCTTTAAAAAATCCCAACAGATTTATTATTTAGCTTTATACATTATATTCTTGCTGGCATATCTTCATATGGCCTAATAGGTCTGGGGGGATGACTGCTTTCTTAAGTAGCAACGCTGCATGTAATACTGAACCCTAACTATTTAGGTTTTTTCTATGCATATCTCTCTCTCTCTCTCTCTCTCTCTCTCTGTCTCTTGAACTAAAACTTACTTTCTGCCTCTGTCTACACACATCCTTTTTTGCTTTCCAGGCAAACAAGAGACCTTTGGTTTCCAACTCTGGAATCCATAACTTTTTGATGTTAGGAAAACCTCATCAGCTCGAATACTGCCTTATTCCTTGTCTGTCTTTTTTTAAGAAGGTTATTTGTTGTTCTCTAAATAATCTGAATAATTAAAAGCAGCTGCTTTTACTTCCTTTTCTTCACTGAGAAAGGTACAGTGACCACAGCAACACTTTATGTTGCACCTTACCTGGGTTTGCTACAGATGAAAAGGGGTACAGATGTACTTCTGAAGAAGAAGAGAAGAATTCTGCATGACCCGTGGCACTTTACTCTTCCCCAACCCATTAACTGCATCAGTAGTGTTCCAGCAACAGCTGCCTTGGTAAACTTGCAGTTGCTCTTTGGAAGAGCTACCTGTAGAAAATATTGGGGAGATGCAAGAAATTGGAGGAAGTAATGAAGCTAATTATACACAAACAAGGGGAAAAAAAATTACTCAAGGTGACTATTTTTACACTCAGAGGAAAGCAGATAGGATAATTTAATGTTAATCTGCCCATAACATTTGTGGTTTAATGTCTGAAAAGCCTTAAAAAATTACTCAACAAAATACAGTGCAAGTAACTCTTAGTTGCTAAAGATGGAGGTTGTTGCGTAGTTTTTGTATGGGTCTGGTGCTGTTTTGATCTTGTAGCCCTCAGAGAAAGCAAAGGGAATGAGAAATCTTTCTTTTCTGTCAACCCACTGTTCCTCAGAGCGACAATGCAGGGTGCTTATTTTAGACTATCATTTGGAACAATCAGTGAGTAGGTATATCAGCACTTACTATTTTTTCTATTTTTTACAACTGCATATATGTATTGAAGTAAGTTCTATGTAAACTCTTCTAGTATTAGAATAACACTGGCAATAATGGCACTGAAATTAATATAAATTATGGCAGGTTAAACCAAATAAATATCTTGAAATACACTGAACACAAAATTTCCCATTTCTGATGAAAAATAAGTGGTATATTTTTCTCTTGTAGTATTATTTTGATGCGAGTTGCCTCCAGGAGCTGTAGCAACAAAGGGTAACCTGTTTCACGCTTTTAAATAGTGTTTCTCATTGCAGCTGACCAAGAGGTTGTGTCAGCTTGGTGGCATTTGCAGACTTCATAATTAATGTATGGAAATACAAGCATTAATGTAAAATTCATTTC